TCTATGACAATGATGAACTGGAAGAAGCCCCAGACCGATCCAACTAACTCCTGAGGGAAGCCATGAATCGCATGAGGGAGGCCATCCATGGCATGCGGACCCAGGATGACCCGGCTTGTGCTACGGGTGAGGTAGGAGCGCAAAAGGAGGCTACCGATGAACAAAGGGGATCCCCAGCCCCAGGGGCATCTACTGAAATCGCAGAGGCTACTGGCGAACCCATTTCCACCATGGAAGATCCACCCAGGTGACAGCTCAACGCAAAGCAAGGCCTGCGACTCAACAGGAAGAGGCTTTCATCTCTTAGAATCTTGGTGTCAAATTTGACAGAAATCCCCAGCAACTGGGATTTTTCCTCACACCTAGATGCAGGAGTATAGGAGGGACCTCCCTACAGAAAGGCCCAAAGTCAGGGTTCTCATGCTGGCTCCAGAGGATCAGCTGCATGTTGGATGGTGAGCCTCCATAATGCAGATGCACCAGAGCTCTGCAACTTTAATCACTTCATGACAGCCCTGAAAGAGAGATTTGAGGACCCCCTAGCCGACCGCAAGGCTAGACACTGCATAAGGCACATCAGTGACCTGATTTGCCAAGTAGATTGGCCAGAGGAAATACTAATGAGTTGGTTCAAAGATGGCTTAAATGATTACCTGTACAACACCTGCGTTGCCTATGGAGCCCCAGTCTGCCTGCATAGCTGGTGTGTCTTGGATGAGGAAGCTGAAATCGACCAAGCTCAAAACCAGTACCACGCAAGTCACTCCTGGAAGAAATCTCCACTGGAAGGGAGAAGGAGGGAACCAAACCTCGCTCTGCCCCGCTGCGCTCAGCCGCCTGCTTCAATTGCGGGAAGGAAAGCCACCACACAACCGAGTGCCATGCGAGGATGCCCACCCAGAAAGAAGAGAAGCAGGTCTGAGGGAAACCCTCAAAGCCACTACCACATTCCAGAGACACCGCCCTAATGACCCATAGTACAGTATGAGGAACTCCGACCGCTCCAGTGGAAGAACCCGATCAGTCAGAGAGCAACTGTGAAGATCATTTGGTAAGTGGGGTTGTCAAACCCCTTACAACTCCTATAGAACCCTTTACAACTCCTATGGGAGAAAAGTGAGACTTAAAGCATTGCTGCATTCAGGGTTCACGAGAAGCCTAATAAGCCCAACTCTGGTCTGGGAACTGGGCATTCGACTAAGGCCACTAAAAATTCCAGTCTCATTCTGTCAACTTGATGGGTCCATTGTGAGGGGCGCCCCAGTCACATTTGCTGCTGAACCGCTCAAACTAACAATGGCAAATCACTCCAAAACCATTGCTTTCTTTTTTATTATTATAATATTATTTATTATGCAATTTTCTTTGTTATATATAAGATTTCCATATACAGAACAAAACAGAAAGAACAGAACATAATAACAGTTGAAAGGGACCTTGGAGGTCTTCTAGTCCAACCCCCCTGCTCAGGCAGGAAACCCTACACCACTTCAGACAAATGGTTATCCAACATCTTCTGAAAAATTTCCAGTGTTGGGGCATTCACAACTTCTGCAGGCAAGTTGTTCTACTTATTAATTGTTCTAACTGTCAGGATGAATGGAAAACACCATTTAATTGTCCGTTGGGATGTTTTCACTTCAAGGTTTTGCCATTCGGGCTCCAAGGAGCTCCTGACGTTTTCATGCAGCTAATTAATGAGGTGCTGCATGAGCATTTGTATAAGGGAGTTTTGGTTTATCTTGATAATATGTTGATTTATATTGAAACTAAGACTCAACTTGTTAAATTGGTGCAGGAGGTCTTGGCTGAACCTCTGTTAAAACACCCAGACCCAGAGAAACCATTTGTAATTCAGGCCGATGCCAGTGATGTGGCAGTCTGTGCAGTTTTACTCCAAGATAATGAAGAAGGTAAATTACAACCATGTACATACACCTCTAGGAAATTAACTGAAACTGAACAGTTTCAGTTGGACAATATGGGAAAAAGAGGCTTTTGCAGTCAGGTGGGCACTCCTAACTTGGAGACATTTCTTAGAAGGAAGCAAAATACCTTTCCAAGTATGGACCGACCACAAGAACTTGTAAGCATTCAAAACCCCACGGAAAATTTCCCCAAAATAGGTCCGAAGGGCACAGTACTTCCAAAGTTTTAATTCCACTTTGAAGTATTTACCGGGAGGAAAAAACTTTTTGTCAGATGCCTTGTCCAGACTACTATAATACAACAGTGTTAAGGTGGAAGTAATTAAACTCGTGCTCCCAGCCTCCCAATTAGCAGCTAAAGTTGTCATGCTATCTCAGACAAAGAATGACCCCTCCACCTGAGACAATGCCACCACCACAGAATTCAAAAACACTTTGGAAACAGATGTGTGGCTTAATGCTCATAGACATATTTGCATAATAAAAGATAGATTAGCTTGGGTGGGAAATAAGCTGTATGTCCCAGCTAGGGAAAGACTGAAAACTATACAAGCTTGTCACGATTCCAAATTAACTGGTCACTTTGGTTTTGTAAAAACGTTACATTTATCGAAACAGCAATTCTGGTGGCCCTCATTAAAAAAAGACATAGAAAGCTATGTAGCAAGCTACCCGATTTGCACTGCTGCTAAATGCAGGCAGAGGAAAAACCCTGGTCTACTGCAGCCGGTGGCCGACCCTTCAGCACTATGGAAAGAGATCTTCATGGATTTCATTGTAGAATTGTCCGAGAGTTCTGGAAACACAGTGATTTGGGATGTCACAGGCCTTTTCTCAAAGCAAGTTCACTTTGTCCCATGCCAAAAGATCCCTACAGCCAAAGCCTTGGCTAAGCTGTTTTTGGTCCACATATACTGCTTGCATGGGGCCCACGACGCATTATTTCAGGCAGAGGGGTCCAATTCACATCCAAGTTCTGGAAAGCCTTTTTGGACCTACTCGGAACCGAACAGGGACTTAGTTCTAGTCATCATCCGCAAACAAACAGGGCCACGGAATGAACAAACTCAGTTCTGAAACAGTACCTGCGTTGTTTTATTAACTATTAACCAGGACAACTGGACCGAGCTATTGCCTTTTCCAGAAGTGTCTATAGTAATGCAGTTCACACTAGCACAGGTTTTACCCCATTCAGAGTAGCCACAGGGAAAGAATTTAATGCTATGCCTGAGTTACCTCACATGAACCAGAAATCCCCTCATTGAAACAGTGGATCAGTCATTTGCAAACCATTTGGCCGGTGGTCTGCAAAGCCTTGGATGAAGCCAAGACTGCCTATAAAGCACAAGCAGACAAGAAACAAATAGAACCTAGACCTTACAAAGTGGGTAATAAAGTTTATCTTTCCAGCAAGTTTCTAAAATTTTGCAGCAATCTAAAAAGCTGGGCCTTTCCTCATCATTCATATTATTAACCCTGTCACAGTGGAATTGCAACTCCCTAAGTCATTATGGCAAGTCCATTTTCCATTGTAGCTTGCTGAAGCCTGAAGTCACCTCTGACCTTCATCCGGCTACTACCCTGTTCCACCCCCTATTACGGTAGAGTGTGAACAACATTTCGAAGTTCAAGAAATTCTAGACTCTAGGAAATTCCACAGAGCCACTCAGAACCTGGTGGCTTGGAAACACTCCCCTTCTCACACAATGAATGGGTTCACAAAAAACATGTGCATGCCCCTAAATTAATACATATATTTCATCAATTGTACCTTGACAAACCTCGCTGATTTTATATTTTCTTTCTCTCCCCTTCACTCTTTTTGTTTTCTTTCAGGTGAACTTCCCACTTTTCTAGGGGGGTGGCATGTCAGGTCCCATATATTTCTATTGGGATGCTGCCATTCTGGTGGGAGGGGGAAGGATTGCAGAGATCTCTATATGAAGTTTCTTGTTTCCTGCATTGCTGTGCTGTGGGACGGATTTTGTTTGCACTGCTTTAAATTGCTTTTAAATTTTTTAAGTGGGAAGATTTAGTTCCTGCCTAGACCTCTTGCTATCACAAGCCTTTCAATAAAAACTCCTTTTGGAACAACTTCAGTTTCAAGAGTCCTGCTTTCTTGCGAAGATTTGGACAGGCAAAACCTTACATTCACTCTCACAGTTACTTCTATTGAGCCAGGTTTCACCTAATCTATACTTGTACCTTTTGTTTTTCCTGCCTAGGTGTAAAACCTTGCTTTTATCCACATTAAATTTCATGTCGTTGGATAGGGACCATTGTTCAAGTCTGTCAAGATCTTTTTGGATCCTGATTTTGTCTTCTGGGGTGTTGACTATTCCTGCCAGTTTAGTGACATCTGCAAATTTGATGTTTCCCTTCTATTCCCTCATCTAAGTCATTTATGTTGAAGAGTACTGGGCCTAAGACGGAATATTGTGGTACCCTACTGCTTACTTCCCTCCTTGTAGATACAGTACCATTAAGAACTACTCATTGAGTATGGTTTGTCAGCCAGTTACACATCCATCTGGTAGTGATGCTGTTTATTCCACATATTTCTAGTTTACCAGGAAGTAGGTTGTGGTCTACTTTGTTGAATGCCTTACTAAATTCTAAGTATACTATGTCCACAGCATTTCGTCACTTTGTCAAAGAATGAAATAAGATTGATTTGGCATGATCTGCTTTTAACAAACCCGTGCTGTCTACTAGTTATAACTTTATTTGTTTCTAGATGTTCACATATCTGGTTTTTTATTATTTTTTCCAGTATCTTCCCAGACATTGATGTTAGACTGATTGGTCTGTAGTTTCCTGGGTCTGGTTTTTTTTCCTTTTTTGAAGATGGAATACATGAAAGAATGTTGTCCTTCTGGTTTATGCATTATATATTTAAAACCCTGGTGTAAACTGTATCAGACCTTGGTGGTTATTATAGACTTTGATGGCTTGTGCATTATAATATAACTATTAGTCAAATGTATTAAATGTAAGTAGTGTTGTACATTCAGTACGAATCTTGTGAAATTACTTTAGCTCATACCAATTTTATGTTTATTTTCTTTGCAGGAATTTAGAACATAAATGTGCTAAAGCCTACCAACCGTTACAGACTTGACTTCTGCAAATACTTTGGTCTTTTCTGGCCATGTTGTACAATTGGTGTTCCATGAGAAATTTGTCTTCATGAAGATTCCTAATATTGGTAATGTGATGAATAAATTTGAGATCCTTGGGGTTGTAGGTGAAGGTAAGCATATATTCATGAATAAATTTAATTGAGGTTTGAGAAGAGATGTGTGCATAACTAGAAAGAAGTAGGTGAGACATTGATTACAGAATGCAGTTTTTGTTTTGCTATGGCTAGAAATATACAATTTTTCTAATCACTGATATGGCATGATAGAACTTCTGACTCATGTTTTCTGCTGTTTTGCTGTTAATTCCTGATATATAACTAAAATGGAAAATCTAAATGACTGATATTATAGTAGGACAAAATAAAATGAATGGAACAGCAATTTTTCTATCATAAAGGCTTTAAGTCTTTATGTTATAGTTTTCTAATCTTATGAGAGCTTTCTTTCTTCCTTTGAAGCCTGGGAAAGAAAGGGCACACCCTTTTATATGTGAGTTATTCAAAATTAAGAAAGATCTTGATTGCTTGTCCAACTGAGCTTCAAGCTGTATTATAATGCTGAGTTTCAAAACTCTCACAGAAAATTTTCTCGTTTCCATGCCTCTGCAAGCACATATTTTTAAAACGTAAAGTTGATTCTTAATACAAATACTGTTTTTGGTAAGTCGTGATTGTATATGTGTGGATAACTAAGTGGTAGATATACAGTTGAAAATTTTTAATTCTATTGTGTTTATCTTACCACTTAGGATATATTGCTGTTTATCCCTGAGTACATTTAGAAGTGTTTTAGTGTAAAAACTATTTAATTTTCTAATAATTAAAGCATTCTTGCTCCTTAAAATGAAACTTCTGAAATTTGGTCTGTTGCTTCAGCTGCTTTATGCTACAATCATTCAAAATTGGTTTTTTTTTCTAATTAAGGAAGATAATGCTTAGACACTTGCATTGTTCTCTGAAATTAAAATATTTAAAATTTATACTAAAAAATATGTGAACACACATACATTCAGTTAATTTATGTTTAATCAACTGTAATGAGGAAGAATGTCAAGCTTCTTAAAAACCTACTAGTCAATTTTCACTTGAGCCTAAGAATAAAATTTTGCAACATTTAACCCAAATAATAATCTCTACAATTTCTACACAACAACATGAAATCATAGGTGCCAGTTCTTTACACGGTGTTGGCCTTTATATCATTACATTTTTCCCAAGAACCTAGGACAGTGATGGCTAACCTTTTTGCCATTGCGTGCCAGGAGGGGTGGGGTGGGGTTGCGTGTATGTGTATGTGTACTCACACCCATAATTCTATGCGCCCCGCACATGCACATGCAACACCCCCCCCCACTCCTGGCACGCGACGGCCCAGTAGGCCCATTTTTCTCTCTCACCTGGCTCCAGAGCCTCTCTAGGAGTCTGGGGAGGGCGAAAACAGCCTTTCCCATCCCCCCGGAGGCTCTCCAGAGCCCAGAAACAGCCCGTTTGCTAACCTCCGTTGGGACTGGAAGTTGGCAAACGGGCCATTTTCAGCCTCTGGAGGACTCTGGGGGGGGTGGGGAAGGCCATTTTTGCCCTCCCCAGACTCCTAGATATGCTCTGGAGGCTGGGGACAGCAAAAAACAGGCCTTCTGGTCCCACCGGAAGTTGGCAAATAGTCCGTTTCTGGCCTCTGGAGGGCCTCCGGGGGGTGGGGAAAGCTGTTTTTGCCCTCCCCAGACTCCTAGAAAGGCTCTGGAGCCAGGTGAGAGTGAAAAAAGAGCCTTCCCCACCACCCCCCGAGGCCCTCCGGAGGCAGGAAACAACCTGTTTCCCTACTTCTGGTGGGCCCAGAAGGCCCAAAAATCAGCTGGCCGGCGTGTGCATGCGCACCAGAGCTGAGCTCGTGTGTCCACTGATATGGCTACGCATACCACCTGTGGCACGCATGCCATAGGTTTGCCATCACGGATTTAGGATGTAGTAATGTATCAGTATAATATACTGTATGTGTGGATCCAAGCACTGTGACCTTTTGTAATTGGCAGATGGAAATTTTATTAATGCACAGATTTTCTAAGTGTCATCCAAGATTTTCACCTAGTGTGCTAATAAACACTGGGATCAATTTATGCCATAATTTTTTAACTTCGATTTTCAGATCTTGATTCTGTGATCTCCAATTCTTTGTCTTCTATTCTATTATCCCCTGATATTGCCACATCAATTATCCACCCTGTCATTTTATCCACAGTTAAATCTGAGCTAACACTTTATCAGTTTCTATTCGGAAATTCCACAATATTTCAATCTGCTAATTTTTTACAATTTTTTCAACTACTGTAAATATTCCCACTAACTTTTCATTAGTGCACATGGTATTTTTAATAGATGTTTCAGGAATCGTTTTGAAGACTATATTATGTTGTTGTTTATAATCAGTTTCTGCAATCTTCTTGCAATGAGCTGAATATATGATTTACTGTTTCTTCTGCTTCTTTGCAGAATCTGTATTTTAATCATTTGATGATTGTTTAGTTCTGGCTTTGTTTGCATTAGTTCAAATAGCTTGCTTTTGGGCAGCTAAAATCAAACCTTTCATTTTCTTTTTTTAATATTCTATTTGTAAACCATTGCCAGGTCTTATCTATATCACTTTCCCCTCTATCTTTTGAGGAAATTGACCATGTAATGTTTTTCCTTGTCAGCATTCTGCTTATGGTTTTATTACATTATTTCAATATTCATTCATTCATTATTATTATTATTATTATTATTAGTAGTAGTAGTAGTAGTAGTAGTAGTAGTAGTAGTAGTAGTAGTAGTAGTAGTATTTAAGATTCAGTCTTCAATTCAATTCACAGTCTGGGACTGGTAAAAACAGTTCAGATCCTAACCAAGGACCTAAGAGCTGTTAAATTAATTCCATGTATCTAGGCAACCTTTTGGGTATTGCTCCAAGGGTTCCTATTACTGTTGGTACAACCATTGATATCTTCCTCCACAATCACTCAACTTCAATTTGCAGATTGCAGTATTTTGTTATTTTTTTCTAGTTGTTTCTCTTCAATTTGTGCATCACCTAGTATTGCAATATCAATGAACCAGACTTTTTTCTTTTTCACAAAAGTGATGTCAGGCATGTCTTGGATTCAAAAGTCCCACAAGCTCTTGACCTGTTCCTTCTCAAGAACTTTGTCAGTTGGTGTTCCCAGTAATTTTTTTTGCTGCTGCTGCTGCTGCTGCTGCTGCTGCTATTATTATTATTATTATTATTATTATTATTATTATTATTATTATTATTATTATTATTACCTTTTAAATACAAAGTATAATACTTTCTATGATGTACATATGAATGTTGAAATTTGATATTTTTTTTAATTTTGGGCTATAGGAGCCTATGGTGTTGTGCTTAAGTGCAGACACAAGGTAAGTAAAACAATCTACATTGTGCTTTATTATCTTTGTTTTGCTTTTCCCAGACCATGGTTTGGTTCCATTTGCCTGCAAGTTGCCCTGGCTTGTGTACTGTTCATTGTGAATGAGAATCTGTTTCTTCCCTTTCCTTGTTTAAATCTATCTATAGTTTGGTCCTTCATTTAAAATGCTTATCCATGGTTTTTACATAGTTTCTTGTTGTCATGGGTTACAGTTTACTGTATTTTTCGGAGTATAAGACGCACCTACCTTTTTTGGTTGTTGTTTTTTTAAGTTTTTTTTATTTTTTAGACAAGCACACATACAAACATACAATGTATTTTCTTTGAACAGTATTTGGCTGGTTCACAAATTTAAACAGTGTTTAGTCATTTCAATTAAATTTACAATTTCTATATTTCCTTTTTGCCATATTTATTCCTCATCTATTTTTTAAAAAAAACCAATATTACCCTTCATTCTCATTTCTAATCTTAGTCAAATTCAATTTTTCCCTTCTATTCTATATTATACCCCTTCCCATTGTCATCTATTTTTATATCCATCCTCACATTGGTTAATTATTTAATATTACAATTGTTTAATACAAATTCAACATTTTTATATAAATCAATTAGTTATAACTTATCTTTTTTGTATATTAATCAATATAAACATGAATATTCCAATTATTTCCATGCAATCCAATTTCTTACAAATCAATTAATTATATTTACCAATAATAATAAACCAAATAATTTTCCTCATATATTCCTCCAAACCATAACTTAACCATTTCTGCTTTCAACACAATATACAATTAATAGCATATCAATTATTACAATTCCCTAGTTAAATAGACCTTTTTTTCTTTTGTGTTTTAAAATCTTGAACTCTCCTCTTTTGCACTAAATTTCCCATTGTTTGCACCTACCTTTTTTGGTGAGCAAAAAGAAAAAGAAATCTCTCTCCCTGCCTCATTTTATCACGTTGCAGCAGAGCCTGCTTTACTTTCAGTTTCGTTTTAGCTAGGGGGAAAAAAAATCTGCTCCAGCATTCTTTGCAGCAAGCAAAGAGCTTGCAAAACAAGAGCTTGCAAAAGAGCCTGCACAAAACAGCTGAGAACAAATCAGCTGAGAGTTGGGAGGCCGATCTAATCAACTTGTGCTAATTAGCCTATGCTGAAGCTGAATGGGGCTGTTTTTTCTTGCTGTTTGCTTGCAAGGAGGTAACTGCTGGGAGGCAGAGGCCAAAGGGTGGGGGCCAGTGGGTGGGCAGCGCTACATTCGGTATATAAGACGCACCTAAATTTTCACCCCCTTTTGGAGGGCGGGGAAAGGTGCATCTTATACTCCGAAAAATATGGTAATTCAGATTGCCAAATTATTGTTTTCTGCAGAAAAAGAGAAATTTGCTCAATTGTAAAGAAAAGGGAAACTAATTTTCATTATGAAAACTATTATTTTGCCTTAATCTCAATGATCCAACTCTGCTGTAGAGAATTACACCCAAAAGTGTTGTATTTAAATGATTTTTTCTGTTAATTATTTTTAAACCCAATCTAAAAATATGATTTTGAGAGTTTTCATTCAAAAACCTGAATTTCTACTTTAAAACTTAGGCTAAATTGGTATTCTAAATTCTAGGCTTTGTGAATAATGTGCAGTGTTTTTTATTTTATTTTTTAAATATAAAGATAATTATATTCTCAAACTATAGAAAAGTATAAAAAGTGTTATTGCTTAGATAAAATATATTGTCTGAATTACACAGAATGTACTAAAGATCAACCTGAAGATTAGCTCCTGCTTGGGGAGGGGGGCTGTTTGCATGGCGAATTTACTCTTTCTATAATGCCTGTCTTTCCCTATCATGTTATTCTTCCCATTACTTCATCTTACCCTAACCCTAACCCTAACCCTTTCTTTTTTTATGTACCCAGTGTATGTATCTCCTACTCTTAACTTATCCTCTTACTTTCCATATTTTTTCATATTTCCATAAAGGAGTTTCTGCATGTATGTGACTATGTGTGTATACTTACATACATCTGTGGTGCAAGAGTGTGTTATGTGTAAGAGAAACATCATCTGATACATGCAGATAATAATATTTATTAAACTTGTATGCCATCCATTTCTCAGTGACTGTGGGCAGCTCACAACAATCTAAAAAATTACAATAAAATTAGCAAAACATAATAAATAAAGATAAAAGACAACAAGCACAGAGAAGTGAAGAAACTCCTTCTCCCTCCTCAAAGAGCTGGGTCAGGATGAAGCAAGTAAATAAGTGGATCCTAGGTCAAAGAACATAATTTTAGTTAGCAATTATTAATTGGATTAATGTATATTATTTTTTATCCTAGTCCTCTTCAGTACTTCTTTTTTCTTCTTCTCATCTCTTTTCCTTGGGCTGTTGCTTCTTGCAGACATATATTAAAGAATACATATGGATACATTAATCAGGCATAAGAACCTCTGCAGTTGTAAATTGGATTTGTCATTCTCCATTGTAGGTAGAGACAGCAGCCAGGAATGGGTGGTTTTCGCCTGTTCAGCTTGAAGGACTGAGACTGTTGCAAAAGTTGAGCTCCTCCCTTGTTGCTAGGGATCTCCAGCTTTTTCTCAGTCCTTCAGCCTGGACAGTCGTCTCGGATTGTGCTCTTGCTTCTAGTTTTTACTTGTTGCCTTTCTTGAACTTTATTGTCTAACTAATTGACCTTCTTGAACATCGAACTGTGAGTTGTTGGGGCGCTTGCCCTTTGGGAATCCTTTCCCTCTCTGCAGGCTTGCTAGCTTGTGAAAACATTCTTTCACCCCTGCCCCTTTGGCCAGTTACCCTGTTGAACTTGCAGGCGTTCCAGGGGAAAGAAGAGCTGGTTCGTTGGCCGGAGGGGGACGGCGGTTTGGTGCCCCCAGGAGCTTCACACTCCCTGAAATCAGCTTGCGGTGAGGAGCTTTGGGCTTCGAAACTGCTGATCGGCCGGCATACCTTATACCATCTGTCAGGGGGCCACCCGCAGCGTGGGACCGCTTGTGAAGCTTTCACGATCCTGTTTCACCCACCTGCCGACAGAACTGGGCGATTGCCAATTTGGATGGGGATTGCCTTTGGGCTTTTAAAGTGGCAGCAGTTTCTGCAGAGCAGCCTTTGTCGCTTCAGGAGCTTCGCGCTCCATTCTTAATGGCCGGCATCCATTTTGGGACACGTTTAGTGCCATTGAATGAGCCAATTTGATCGGCGGTCAGTCTCCTTCAGGAGCTTCACACTCCATTCACCTGGCACAATTACTGGGAGACTCAGGAGCTTCGCGCTCCATTGTTTATCATGGAAGGCTTCTCAGACCGTGGATGAGCTTAGCGCTCCATCGCTAACATGCCGGCCGCCATTTTGTGATGCAGGAGATTCGCGCTCCATTGTCAGACTGTTGGGCGCCATTTTAGGATCCCAGGAGCTTCGCGCTCCTCGTCCTGTTATTTGACTGCATATTGCCTGGGTCTTTATTTGCCTAACCGGTGTCACAACCTGGAAAGGGGGGATTTCCCCTTCAATTTGAATTTGAAGTTTGCTGTCTTCTGTGAATTTCTGACTCAGGCAGCCATTGCCAGTCCTTGTCTGATTGGCAGACATTTTAAATTGCCATTTGACATTGTCATCTTAAGTCCTTCCACTAGTCCTTGACTGGCATTAACGTAGTCCTTCACGTAGTCCTTGACTGGCATTAACAATGCCTAAGGCATTAGCAAAATTAAAGCATGGCTGAAAGGCCGGATCTACTGGCCAGGATGCTAATGTAACTTTGGGTCCAGACCCAGGGGCTTTCCAGGATATTTCTGGCAAGGCAGTGTCCTCCATGGGAAGGTCTTCTCACTCCCATCATGCCCCTCGCAGCCTCAGTTCAGCTGCCACTAGGGATGAAAGGTGCCGGGACCAGGCCTTACAGAAAATCTGGAATAAGGCCAGCAAGCACAGAGTCTCTTCTTCAAAAGAGCTTCCACAAGCTCCCTCTCCTGGGATGGCACCTGACCAGGTTTCTCTGCGGGACTGCCCCGTTTCTGTCTCCACTACTGCCTTGTGGAGTTCCTCTGTACCCTCAGCGCCCGGCCCTACACCACTTCCTCTAGAGGAAGCTGCGGTGACTGCCCAAAGTCTGGCTCCTGGTCCCTCAGAAAACCCTCTGACTCAAGATAGAGAGGGTTTACTCCCTGATCATCTCCAACAGATTTTTACAGGGCTTTGCAGATGTCGTTGGACGCTGGCTACCTTCGACCGGGCGGAGATACTTCCAGGAGAGCGGGATGTTCTGCTTCTCCAGAGCGTGATGTCCAGGATGATCTGCTCTCCTGCCCAGAGTCGGTATTGTCTCCTCTTTCGCATACTACTCGCCCAGCTAACCTTGACGAGGTCGACCACCCGGAACCTGATTTGTCAGATGACGAGGGTCTAGAACCTGAACAACCGGCCTTTACCGGCCTATTTCCTCCTGCGGTCTTTAAATCTTTACTCTTTAAGACATCTCAAGCGGTGCAGCTAGGCCCTTTCGACCTCCCAAAAGTCCTTTAACCCGCTTTTCTCTGAGCCAACTAAACCTGTCGATTCTATTCCAGCTCCTCCACTCTTCCTGGATGTTATTCGGCACCAGTGGACGTCACCTGGATCTGCTCCGGCTCCTTCTTCCCTGGACAAATACTTCTTTAACGTGGCTCCTGACATGGCCTCTTTACTTCAAATTCCATCGATTGATGCCCCTATTGCAGCATTGTTACCTCATACAGCCATTCCGGGCAAACGTGACGAAGGGCTTTGCCCTGAGGAACGCCGCTCCGATCAAACTCTCCAATGGGCTCACTTGGGGGGCGGCTTGGGCCATTAAGTCGGCCACCATGGCCTCCTTCTTTAACAGGGCGACATTGCTCTGGTTGAGCCAGTTCCAAAGCAAATTTCCCCCTGAGGATTCCAGACTGCAGCAGGACCTAAATAAAATTATTGCAGCAGTCCAGTTTTCTGCG